CCTATTGCACTCCCTGCCACTCTCCAAAGGCACAACCCTGCTCTGCATCAGGCTGGCTGCTCCTGCTGAGGAGCCCCCTGCCCTGGGGGAGGAGTGGGGCTGTGCTGAGGGATGGTTACGCACAATGTGCTGTAGGAGCTTTGGAAGGAGTTCATTATGTTTGTATCATGGAGTAGTTCTGTGTTTTGTCTCCTTACACGTGTTATTTTTACCTGCCAGGATTCATGAATGTAGCTGCTAAGGTGTTGGTGGCTGTAATGGTTTTAATCACTGCTAAAATAAAATCAGGCCTGCAGGTTTGGGGCATTTGGGGGTCTCTGAGTCCTGCCAAGGGGGTCCCTGCTCTGGCCGTGGGCTGTTGAGGGTGGGATGGAGCATCTTGGCAGTCTCTGCAGACTTCAGCTTTCTGGTGCTTTCATCAAAGCCTAACTCTAGCCTTTCCCTCCTGCATTTTAACTTTCAAAAGGGGTAAATACATGTCTAGAGCAGAGCAGCAGCAGATTGTGACCGTCATCATTGCCCCAGGGGTGAATTGTACCTGATGTGACAGGTCCCAGGGTCCTGCCAAGCCCTGAGGTGATGTCAGTGAGCCCACACATCTCCCCAGCCCCTTCTGGGTCTTGTGCCAGGTATTTCCTTGAAACCACCTGATTTCCTTGGCACTGTGAGTGTAAATACCCCAGAATAAACGATTGCACAATGGAGCTGGGCTGAGGCTTGGCAGGGGCTGGTGCTGCCAGTCGTGCCGGGGGTGCTGCCTTGGCTGGGCAGGCAGAGGAGGTGAATTTGGAGGTGTGGACCTGGTGCCTTCGTGAGCATTGTACCATAAGTGGGGCTTTGTGTTTCCCTGACTCTCTCCCCATTTCTGTCAGCAGAGGAGGTGGTGGCTGCTGTCACCTTCAGTGAGCAGTGGGAGCTGCATCACCATCCCTGAGCTGTGGTCCAGGGGCTGTGGCTGCCCCACTGTGGGTTGTTTTGGAGAAAAATTATGGCTCAGACAAACCCTGTTCCATCTCTGCTGCCAGCAATGGGCAGAATTGGAAAGTGAGGGGGAAAACCCTAAAACCAGCCCAGGTAGCTTGAGTTTGTCTGTGCTGGCTGTGGCATTAGAGCTGCCACCTCAGTGCAGTGTCTCCCTCCTGGCAGCTCTGTGGTGGGTGATGGGGAAGCCCAGCCCAGCAGAGCAGCCCTGGCAGGAGAGACGTGGCCCCAGGACCCACCTGCCCCAGGGGTACATCCCAAACCCTCCCCCTGTGCCCCTCTGAAAGGTGCTGGGCCAGTGCTGCTGGTGCCCCCTCCAGCTCTGCTGCTGCTCCCCTCTCTGAATGCTGTTTGCAAACTGCATCTCTGTGCTCAGCCAGGTGGATGTCACACCTCTAGTTGCAATTTTGCCTTTGTAACTGCTGTCTAATGGGTTTTTAGGTTTTAAAAAACCTGCTGTGTCTGTGAAGGTGTGCTGTATGTTGTGTACTCTGTGCAGCTGAGCATGAACATCCCATGAGCATTTCTTTACAATAAAGAGATTTTTAAAAATAGGCCTAATTTCCTCTGTTCCTTTCCATTATTGTCTGCTGGGTTTTTGAGTTCAGAATTCTGGGTTTTTGAGGTAATTCTGAATTGAGGGAATTTGTGGAAAGTGTTTGGAGGAAGAGGGTCTGCTGGGGAGGGGGGTGTCCCTGGCTTTTGGGAGGTGGGCTGGAAATGGTGAATTCTGCACTTTGGAGCTTCTACTGCTGTTCCCTCATAAATTTTAAGGGTGTTTTTATTTGAGCTAATTGGAATTCAGATTTGCTGGGTTTCTGTGGAGCTGGTAGGGTAGGGAAGCTTCTTTTAAAGCACATTTCTTCTAGGAAAAAAAAAAGTAGAGGAGCAACTGATGTGACTCTTCACTGTGATTTCCAGTATCTGCAGTTGGAAACCAGCTGCTCCCAAAGCAACTTGCCAGCCACAGAAGAGAAGTGACCTTGGATGTGGTGAAGGAAAACCCCTTTTTCTCCTGTTTATCCTGTTGCAAACTGTATTCTGAGGAGGTCCAGGGGGTGTTCAGCAGCCATCGGAGCAGGAGATGGCTTTTGGAGTGGCTCTGCCCTGCCCTGGCTGTGCCCCCCCTGAGCAGATACTGAATAACCTCCTGGGTGCCCATGGAGAAGCTGCTGATTTTTTTTGGCACACAAATTGGCTTTTGTTCCGAGTCATCTGGAATAAAATCCATCTAGGAAGCCTCTGTTTGTGTTTGTGATTAACTGGGTTCCTGTAAGCAGTGCCTGGAGGTCAGTGGCTGCGGGGGGGGGCAAGGGGCCTGTTGTGAGCAAGCCCCTGCCCGTGGGGTGAGTGTTTTACAGAGCAGGGACTGAATCTCTTCACTGCATCGTGGCACAGACTCGGGTGGACTTGAGGAAGGCAACACATCCCACTCAGGTAGGGATTGTGGTAAACATTTCTGGCCAAACCTCTCAGATTTGGCAGAACAAACCAGTACCTGTCAGAGGCACAACTGGGGCAAAAAGGCTGTTGCCACGTTCTTAAGGATGATTTGAGCCTGGGTGAAGCTGAGAAGCCCAAGTGCAGAACAAACAGACAGTTACAGCTTCTGCCAAACTCTTATTCCTGGGAACTGCCCCCCCAGTGAGAGGGATAAGGGAGCAGCTTTCAGTGAGATGAAGGGCAGCTGGGTTCCCATCATGGACAAGCTCTGGGTGGTGCTCCCTGGGACCTTCTCTGCTGCTGAGCTCCAGCTGGTGTTGCACTAATGGGATTAGCTGAAAGTGGTTGAAGAAATCCTGTTTTGAATGCTGGCCATAGGCTTCTGAGGTCAGAAGGGATGAGTTCACAGCTCACATCTCCCAAGGTGAAGCAGTTCTCTTGAGGATGCTCCCATGGTGTGCCCGAGGTGCCTGGACATGCCTGGGGACCCACACTGGCCAGGTTCTGTTGCCACAGGGTGGAATGAGCAGTGTCCTGCTCCACAAGGTTCATTTCAACAAAAGACTTGGCAGCTCCACACAGAAACCAAACAATTTCAACATCTGCTGGGGTTGTGTTCAGTTTTCTAGTGTTTTGCTCTGTGAGTTGAATCAGCTACTTCCTTCTTGCTCAGAGGGGTTAATGATTTATGGGTCAACTGGCCCAACTCTGATTTCTGCAGAACTCAAGCTTGCCTGGATGGAGCCGTGTCTGAGGGTGGAGGTGGGTTGTAACTCCTCCTCTGGAGCTGGGGGCACAGCAAGGACACTCCTCACTTCATCCTGCACGAGCAGAACACGCCGGGTCCCTCCATCTGCTGCCACACCTCCAGGTAGGACAGCCTAGAGCAGCACAGCTCTAGGGGATGTTGTTCTTGGGAGCTGGATTGGAGCTTTCTTGCAACTCCAGCAGGCACAAAGATTAGTAAATGAAATGGGATTAAACCAAGAGCTGTAACGTGGATTGAAGGAAAACCAGAGGATGGGCACAAGCATTAGGTTTTAGGGCAGAAAGCATCAGGAAAGACTAATTTCCAGAGGGAAGGAAGGCACTTGGAGCATGCCTAACATTGGGAGGGTTTAGGCTCGTAAGTTATGATCCTGGATAAAGCCAGAGAGAACTCTTGCTGATCTCTAGGGGTACCAGGTTAGTCCAAATTGCACTTAAATTCCATTTTGTAAAGCATTTCAGTCTCCTGAATAACTTATGTGCTTTATAGCTCTACTCCAGTTAATGTTATTTACACAAAACTGATCTATCTTTTTGGTTAGATGCTTCTCTCTCTGTGTAATTTATCATCAGGGAGCTGTGCTGACTCCAGCAAGATTTCCTCTGACTGAATTTGCTTCCAGGAGATTTATCACTAAAAGAAGATATTTTGTAAGATAAGTTTCAGAGGACTTTTTCTAGAAGTCACCAATAAGCTGGTGGCCTGCAGGTATCAGTGTGGCTGGTTGGCTGGAAGAAGACTACGTTGGCAATAAGTGTTTTTACATCTTCATTTAAAGCTGCATTCTTAAAAATGTAAATTAAGGAGACTAGGGGAGGAAAGCCTGTGGGAATTGCTTAATATCTGCCCTTGTTTGTCCTGTTTATGTTGTATTTTCATGTCTCTGGGTCTGGTTGGCTGGAGCCAGCCTTCCTCACCCAAATCCAGCCCTGCCCAGCAGCCCAGCTCCTCCACGCTGGGTCCCCAGCAGCTGGAAAGGAGCCAGCAGCAGAACTGCTCCGTGCTCTTCAGAGGACTGCAACAGCTCCTGCAGCTTCTGGTCCCCAGCCACCCCTGCAGGAGCTGCTTAGGGGTGGAGAGATGAGCCATCTGGGCTGAGCTATAGTTACCCTGTGTGTAAATATTCCTCTGCTGTTTCTACAGGTATCTGGCCTTGAAAAAAACAATGTGATAACTTCTGTGGGGTCTCCAGGCAGCGAGGCTGGAATAGAGCAAGATGCCAGCTCCAGAGCCAGGGAGGCAGAGGGGTCACACTGCTTTCCTTGGGTTATTCCTCACTGCTGCTCTTGTGGTGGCTGTCCAGAGTAAGTGAACACACAGAGGGAGGGAGTCTGTTGGGTTAAACCAGGATCCTTCAAGGGAAAACCTTCTCCTGGGGGTTGCAAGAATTTGGTTCCTTCTCTTTTCTTCATTGCGTTTTGAGATATCTTAAATCTGTATCATCAGTATCCATGTTCCTTGGCCTTTTGTTGTGTAAAACAGACCTAAAATTTTAGGTCTGAAAATTTCCACCTGAAAAAGGTGCCATGATTTGTACTAACTGGGGAGAGAAAATGGTTCATCTGGACTTTGGGAGCGGCCTTTGAAAGCGGCGGGTGAGGTGTGAGGAGGGAACAGGACCCTGTGGGGTGATGGATGCTCCTCCCCTGCCCCTGCCAGCCACAGCCACCCCACTCACAGCCTCTGCTCCCCTTGTTCCAGCTCTGAGGAGCTCTGAGGCCACCGAGACGCCCTTGGCTGGACCTGGGAGCTCCTGAGGTCTCGTTGCTCTGCCCCCAGCTCCATTCTGAGGTGTTCCCCTTGGCAGGTGCCTGCAATGCTCCACCACGGCTGCAGTCTGCAGAGCTGAAGGAGCAGCACCATGGGCTCAGCTCCTTCCCAACCAGGGCCCGGGCGGAGTACGTCTGTCGGCCGGGCTACATGAGAGACCCCAGCGTGAGGAACTGGCTGGTGTGCGGCAAGGACGGCGAGTGGGTGGGCTCCACGGAGATGTGCACACGTGGGTACCCTCCCCCAGCTCTGGCCTGGGCTCTTATGGCCTCGTGCTATCATACAGATGGTCCTGAGTGATCTCGGGGGGTGGTGGCAGATGTGTGACCTGGCGTGGAGCATCAGCTCTGTTCTGCCAACGAGGGCAAGAGCTGGGGTCTGCTCTGGTGCTGGCTGTGTTTGGTTGCTGACTCAAAGGACCTTCTGCTCAGGTGTTTTGTAGCTCTCAGTTCATAAAAGGAGTCCAGGCTGGCAGTTGGAGAATCCCCTAGCTGTGACCAAAAGCTGTCGTGCTTGCCAGGCTTACTACAAAACCCCCCTTTGACTGCAGGGCCAGCTGTGGGTCATGATGCAAGTCTTAGCAGCACCAGGAATCGTGGAATAAATGAGGGGTGGGGGGGAAAGCTGGAGGTCTCCAATCCATCCCCTTGCTCAGTGTTGGTGGAGTCATCTGCCTTCCTGCTGCATTTTCCTGGTTCTTCAGGAAACTGCAGTGAGCACTGACCCCAGTCCTGTTCCCCCAGCGAAGCAGTGCAGCTACCCTGGTGAGCCAGCCAACGGCAGACTCTTCCCAGCAGAGAGGTTCTACTTTGGCTCAGCAGTGAACTTCACCTGCAACACTGGGTAAGCCAGGAGCACTCAGGGTCCTCTTCTTCCCCAGCCATTCTCCTGAAGTGTTTTCCCCACGCTGGTGTAGGCAATTGCAGACTGACTGAAATCTCTTAAGCTTTCCTTTGAGAGCTTTAAGACTGAGTTTTATTCATCTCCTACTTTGAGGCAGTTCTTCCCAAACTCAAGTTCACTTTCCTGACCCTTTCTAAACCATCTCCAGTGTTTCAGTATCTTTTCTTCAAAAAGGCATCAGGGCTGAGCTCAGAGCTCTTGATAGCTACAGCTGCCAGATAAAGGAAACATTTCCCTTTAGAAACCATGTGATTTTTTTTAATGCAAAAAGTGCTTTTGTCATAAACTACTGTGTCATTAAAAAATGACATTGATGGCAAATTTCTCATCAGGTCTGGTTATAAGGAAGCCAAAACCATCCTGATGGTGATGTTAGAGGTAATGCAGCTTTGTTGAGTAATTCCCTTTCCCCTGTTTCACACAGGTACAGGCTGGTTGGAAACTCTCAGATTCACTGTGTGATTCAACAGGGGGTTGTTACCTGGGACAGAGACATTCCCATCTGTGAGCGTAAGTGGAGCCCCTTCTCTGATCCTGGGGGTGGATACAGGAGCAGCTGTGTTGCCCTGCTGAGGATTTCAGCAGTTTGATGCATGTTGGAATCTGGAAAGACATTTTTTACTTTGTGTCTTTCTTTCTGCAGGAAAAATTACTCCCTGGTCTATCCCAAAAGCACTTGGTGCCTGGGGCAGAGCTCTGCCTGTGGGCTGGGGTGCTGCACCCCTGAGACCTGCCCTTAATTTCTGACCCTTCTGGCAGCTCGTGTTTCAATTTTTTTTCTTACCAGACTTTTGGTTCAAAACAAATGAAGTTCTTTCTCTCTTGTTCTTCCCTCCCTTGACCCTTTCTCCCACCTCCCTCCCCAGCAATCCCATGCTTCCCCCCTCCCACCATAGCCAACGGAGAGCACAACGGGGTCAACAAAGAGCTCTTTGAGTATGGAGAGTCTGTCACTTACTCGTGCCACAGCGTCAGGGGAAGGGAGAGACCTTTCTCCCTGGTGGGAGATGCCTCTATCTTCTGTACAACCACAGATAACATCAACGGTGTCTGGAGCAAGCCAGCCCCCGAGTGCAAAGGTGAGCTGCCCCCACGCCCCTTCCCTGCTGGAGCTGTTTCCTTCCTCTCCTTCGTGCTGCTGCAACCACCTCGTGCAGGTGGAGACCCTCTGAGGTTGGTGGCAGCAGCAGGATTTAGGGTCTCCCATGGCAGGGCCCGTGGCTGCTCGTGGTCAGCAAGTCAGCAGGGATGCACGAGAGGGGTGTTGTGTTCTCAGACCAGATGATCACAGAATCAGAGTGTTAGGGGTTGGAAGGGGCCTCTGGAGATTGAGTCCAACCCCCCTGCCAGAGCAGGACCATCTAATCCAGGGCAGGTCCCACAGGAATGCATCCAGATGGGTCTGTCTCTGAGGCAGGAGATTCCACAACCTCCCTGGGGAGCCTGTCCCAGTGCTCTGGGACCCTGACAGTACAGAAGTTCTTCCTCCTGTTGAGGTGGAACTTCCTGTGCTCCAGCTTGTGTCCATTGCCCCTTGTCCTGTCACAGGGCACAAGTGAAATCAGGTTGCCCCTTTCTTTCTGATACCCATCCCTCATCTATTTATACACATTAATTAGATCCCCCCTAAGTCTTCTCTTCTCCAGACTAAAATGATGCATCTGGCATGTCAGCCTGTGTAAACATAACCCCTGCAAGGAATTCAGAAACCTGCTGTGACATCCGCTGCCTTCCCTGGGCTCTCTTTATCCTTTACCTTAATAAAATGGGTGAAGTAAAAAGATGTTGTCATGTGGAGTAAGGAGATCAGAGATATCACATCAGCTCGTCGTGTCCTTTTTGAGCCTTTTTGAGGAAGGCGTCTGCTGCTACGAGGATGTTCTAACACCCTCCTCTCCCCTCCTGAGCATACCTGCCAACCTCCTAAGTGAAATCTCCCTTTCCCTGGGGCAGTGGTCATCTGTGAGCATCCCAGCATCAGGAATGGGAGGCTGCTGAGCGGGTACCAGGCCTCCTACACCTACAGAGACACCGTCCTCTTCAGCTGCAACTTCCGCTACGCCCTGAACGGCAGCAGCTCCTCCACGTGTGATGGGACTGGCTCCTGGGACCCCCCGCTGCCCCTCTGCCAGCTCAGTGAGTGGGGGGCACCACACTCCTCGGGGGGAAGATCCCACTTCTCTGAGACACCATTTGGTCGTGAACGTGCTGGCTCCAGGATTTCAATTGGGGGATTTTTCCTTTTTTTTTCCTGCTAATTTTCTCTGTGGCACTAAGGTGACGTGAGGGATTTATGGCTTGGGGGCATAGAGGCTAAAGCCTTGTCCCATTCAAACTGGGGAGTGTTTCTCAGTAGAATTCCAAGGGACTAAACTAACCCTTCCATATTTAGTGTGTTTAAAGTCTGTGGGTAGAGCCTCAGACAGTATAAACTTTATCAGGAATTCCATCTCGTTATAACAATGAAAATTACCACATAGTCTGCAAGTATTCATGTGTTTCCATTTGCATTCACCCTTTGGCATTACTGACCTCAGACAATTCAATGCTTCTCAGGAATAACAAAGCCAGCCCACGATTTTTACCCCAGTTCTTTCTCTTCTGTTACACACCCTTATGGGCCTCGATGTTTTCTCTCTGGCAACATCCCTAAACTGGCATTTTGTGCCTAGGTAGCTGTGATGACCCTCCAGATGTGAGCAATGCTGTGAAAGCAAAACTTGCTGGCAATCTGTTTCCTGTGGACACTGTCATTACCTACGAGTGCTTGGAGGGCCACGAGTTCAGCCCAGGAGAAACCACCTGGAACATCAAGTGTCTGCCAGATTTTACATGGACTGAAGCTCCACATCTCTGTGAAAGTAAGAGCTGTTCCTTTGGCTTCCTTACCCCTGTGGCTTGGCAGGGTGATTGCTGAATGAAGAAACTGCATTCATTGTCTGCTGTTGAGTGTTGGGGGCATGCTCTGGGTGCCCAGCTTGGTGTGTCTCTGGTCTTTGCTATGACTCTTGAACTCCTTTGGTTCATTTCCCAGCCAGAGTTTTCTCAGTTTAACCAGCTGTGCTTTCTAGTCCCTTCAACCTGTGGAAAAAGCCACTGTGGTGTCAAGGGCCCCTTGCTCCACCCGAGTGGAGGCTGCAGCTGAGCAGTCCCTTGCAAACACCCCATCCCCCAGGGGCACCCAGGGAAGGTGTGGGGGAAGTTTTAGTGCTGTGATGTGTCTTTGTGCTACAAAACATTTATCCTTGTGTTTAAAACAAACCTGCTGTCACCCAGATGGCTCTGCCATGGCTTCACCCTTGCTCACGTCTGGCATTTTGCAGGAGTTCATTGCCCAAATCCAGATCTTGGGGATGCAAAGCCTGTGAATGCATGGATGGAGAAGGACCATTACGTGTACAGAGACAGGCTGGAGATCACCTGCAGTGATGGGTTTGCTTTCAAAGGGCACACAGGCACCATCGTGCTGCAGTGTACAAGTGCTGGTACATGGGATCGAGAAGTCCCAGAGTGTGTTTCAGGTTGGTAAAGCATGTTGGCTTGGCTGCCTTTTGACTGCAAAGGGTTGGGTCCCTCTGTGTGGTGTAGTTGTCTGCTGACAGTCACAAAAAATCTCTAGGAGGCTTTAAAAGAGGGTAGTAATAGCTAAGGAGAATTTTGCTCCACTGCCACGTATCCCCAGATCCAGTCCTCGTGTGTGAAATTGGGAGAAATAGGCAGCAAAAGGTCCAGATGGATCATGCTGTTGTCTGAGGATTGCTATAGAGACAACACACAGGGGTTTGGCTGAGTTAGTGTGTGGGGAGTGGGGTGCAAGTGTTGGGTGTTGAGGCTTAGGAGGTTCCTAAGAAGCCAGGGAGACATTCACCCGGGTGGAAGGGGATGTGGTTTGTGCTTTGGACAGCAGCTGGGCTGGTTTGCTGACGTGGGGCTTGGGCACAGAGGGTGTTCTCAGGGCATTTCCCTTCTCAGAAGAAAATGCAACAGCATAACTAACTGACAATGCTGAAACCGATAACCTAGCAGTGGGGCAACACCAGTGAGCTGAGCGAGCTGCTGGAAGCCACCTGAGCCCAAAATCTCAGGGAAAGCCTGTTCCACCTCACAGGGCAGCCAGCATTAGAGCATGGACAGCTGGCTGTGGCCCTGACGCTGCCTGAGAGGTGCTCAGCAGCCTCAGGAGTGGGAAAGGAGGAGCTGCAGTCCCTGGGATAAGAGCAGTGCGTGGTGTTGAGAGACCTGGGGGGAGTCTTGGTCAGGCATGGACCCAGATCTGCAGCATTTGCCTTTCCAACAGCCTCAGAAAAACCTGACTGTAGCAGCAGAAACACCTTTAGAGTTACAAAAGGAGGTGTGGTGACCTGTATCTGGGTGCCAGTCACCTTTTATTCCAGGGTTCAGATGTTCTTGGTAACTGTCTCCTCCACAGAAATCAACTTCATTGGAGTTCTTTCTGAAAAATAGAAGACATCTTTCATTTTCTTTTGTTTTAGAACCTCGTTGCCCAACACCAAATATCGACCACGGAATGGAGGTTTTTAAGAGCAGAGATGACTATACAGCTGGGACCAGAGTGAGGCTGGCCTGTGATCCAGGGTTTATCCTCAGGGGCCGGGAGCTGACGGAGTGCCAGGCAGACATGAGCTGGGACCCCCCGTTGCCATACTGTGACAGGGGTACGTGTGCCAGTGCTGGGGAGAAGTCCCGTGCAGGCAGTGAGGGACCTGCCTTCAGCTCCTGCTGCTGGGGAACGGGGCTGGAAGCAGTGAGGTGTCCTCTCCTGGAGCTGTGATCCAGGTGTAGGCCTTGAGGGTTTTCTAAATTCCCTTTATTCCACAGGCTGTGACCCCCCTCCCCAAATTGCCCACGGGAAGCACTCTCACTCGGGCTGGAAGCAGTTCCCCTATGGCACGGAGGTCACCTACAGCTGTGTGGAGGGGCTGTCCCTCATCGGGGACCCGTCCATCTACTGCACCTCCCACGATGGGGAGAACCTGACGTGGAGCGGG